GGAAGATTTTCAGCCAAGTATCTCTCAACCCAATTGAAATGAAAAAATACACAGACTTTCAAAGTGACTGTTTTGGTGCTTAATTATGTTGGAGAATTTAGCAGGTCTCCTTAAATTATACAGACTTTTAACAGGACAAGATCATGAGAGCCAGATACATGTCCTTTCCTGGGACAGGTTTAGTGTGATTATACCAGCCCATTTTCAGGAAGGCTCTAATGATTTTCTGTGCATATGCTTTCAGCCCCAGAAGAGGTGTAAACACATCTTAGTATGGGCCATCACTGAGGTTTTTATGGTTAAGGTCAAGATGAATATAACAAATTGTAACCTAAACCTTCATTCACATTGCTGTTGACTGAAACCCCTTCTGAGGTTTTAAAAAAGTTTGATTAACTTGAGAAAGTTTGCTATTTTTCATGCCTTAGTAGAGCAGATAAATCTCTACAATGGGAAACTGACATATTACAAGATACTATTCTTGCTGTGCTTCTGATTTGGCTGGCATGACTATAAGTCAGTTGTGTTTAAATGCCATTTTGTAAGTCCTTTAAAATAGCGGCTTGGGGAGATCAGTCTGTCCACAAAATCCTCTTAAAGTATATAGAGCCATGGGCAATTAAACAGTTAAAGTTGAACCCAACCTGAAGAGAAAAAAAGTATATTCCCCACAGCACATCATTAGTTGGTCAATAGTCTTGCCCTTGGGACAGGGCAGGTTGGGGACAACTTGACTTTAAAATAATGCTTTGGAAAAACTGGTTTTGGAAAAACAGCTGGTTTCGATGCTTACAAGAATAAAAATTTTAAAAGTCTTCATTTCATCCAGCCTGTGAAATATGACCTGCCTGTGAAATAACATTAACTGAATTTAAAAAAGGTATAACAAAAATGTGATGGGGGTCCAGCAATTGCAAAACTAGCTTTGCATTAAACTAGAAACTTTAAAATTAGGTGGTTATTTCCCATCAAAGTTCTAGGCTTTATTTTATCAAACTTGATATTTTTGAATGTAAGAGATCAGAAATGGGTAGTTGGTTTCCTTTTTCTGGGTAGGAAAAGTTTTTATTTATAAGTCCATCAGAGAGATCACCTGTGTTTAGTGATCTCTCTGATCATCCAAGATGTAAAAGCTTAGAGAAATATAAAATTGACAGATCAGGGAAGGATGTGAATTCAGTTGCATTTTTTCACTGAAAATCTAGAGATAAAAAAACTTTCATAACTATGGTTAATACGTTAGTGTCATGGCTATGATTAATTTGCCTCTTAGTTGGTAAATCCAGGCTGAAGAGAAAAGCCTGTCTAAAAGCAATTAATAGAGTACTCAGGACTAACAAAACCAGCTGCTCTGAAGCGTGGGAAATTGTAATATTAAAATATTTGGGTCTTTGTTGCTAAAATTTATTCTGGAAACCTCAACAAATTCCTCAGAAGCTACTCAAGTCAGAGAAAAAACTGTGAAATGCTGATGTACCTCCTCTTTGTTTAAATTCCAGTGGACAAGCAATACTCTGCTTGGCTTTGACTGTCATCTAACACAAATTTTACAAAAGTGTATTTTCACTGACTTCATTGTTGCTCTTTGAAATAAGTAAGATCAGAATTAAATTATATTCAAAGTTCTATCAACATTGTACATCTGTATATACAAGGATATAACAGTTTTTAATTTTTCTGATGTTATCACCACCTTTATGTCAGGAGCAAGAAATTTTCTAGTGCTATGTTAAATATTCAAATGCTTCAGTTTGAATTTCAGGTACATATTGGAGCTGGAAGTGTACTTTGTGAATATGATTTTCTTCCTTTCTCACTGTCCAACCATGCCCAGAAGCCTGTATTCATAGTGCTGTTTCTGTTCTAAGCCTTATAAACAAACTTTACCTCAGGTGCTCATATGGATTTGTAAGAAGTTCTATAACAATATCTGAAGTAAATCCAACTCCACTGTAACTTTGGAGGGTTAAAAAATATTAATAAGCAATGGCACCTGAAGCCTTGGTTAGTTCTGCTTCTTGCAGAAGTTTACATACTGTTGGAGATAGGTAGTGAATATGACTAATGAAAAAAGTGAATGCAGGGTATCAATGAAAGTATTTTGATTAGCATAAGTATGCACAATTTGGATGTATATTCACCATTTTTCTTAGTTTTGGGAGTCTCATGTAGAAGGAGGATTAATTCTATGGGACTTAAACCAAACATCAAAACCCCCAAAATTCTGTCTGAAACAGAAGCAGCAGATTGCCAGATTAGAAAAAAAGTTTGTAATGCTTTCAACATGCCATTATGTAAGGAGGGGGACTAGTTGACAATTTTACCTACATAAATAAAAGGGAAGGCATAAGTCTGTATTGCCCAGAAAGGAGCAAGAAATATTAAAATTTGCTAGTTTTCAATCTTGAATGTGTATGTAGAATGACACTGCTTTCAGAGTAAAAAAATTAACTGTATTACATCCCCTGTGAGCCATCATAAGGATCATCCATCTCCTACTCTGACAAAATTATTTTTGAGCTTAACCTTCTAGATTTAGGATGACCTTTTGATTTAAAAAATTTGGAAAGGTCCCACAGACTCTCTCTGGGCAACTTGGTATTGCTTTGCAAATTCTTTCATCACTGGGACATATCTGCATGGTCTATGGGAAGAGAGTTTTGACTCAAGATGTCACAGATGCTTTACGTCCTAAAAGTGTTCATAGAAAGTCCATGCACTTGCAATTTGATCTAACCTTTTGAATGCTTACTTTTTCCAGCATCATCAGAACAAGGGGTAAGGGAGAGAATAACTAACTAAATCTAAACTGCAAGTTAACATATTTTTAAATAAGTTTTGCTTTGGAAAAAAAAAAAAAACAACAAAAAAAAAAAAAAAAAACACCCCACACCAACAACAAAACCCAAATACCAAACTTGAAGAATCTGACAAGGTAATATATATTTAGTTCACAAAAACATTCTTACCTTTGATCATCAATGTGTAATTGAAAAAAACACGCTGCACAGTTACACTTTTCTTCACTTTAGAGGTCAGAGAGGGTAGGAAAACTGCTTTTTCATTTAATTGCATATAAACGTGTCCCTAGCCGCTGTTTAAACCAAATTGTACACAGAATGTTAAACTACTGCATGTGAAGTTAGCAGCAAATTAATATTTCATGAAAATCCTGCATTAACCCCTTGATCCTAACCTTCAGGTTTAATGGGGAACTAGAACAAAGATGCAGACCAAAGGCTTCAGTGCTGCAGTAACAACAAAGAACACTACTTCTAGAGCTCATCTCTTTCCTCCCTGTTCAAAATATCCATGAAGGTTTGACACAGTTCTAGATATTTCATCTTGGCTGCAAAGTTCTGACTGTCCCCACACAGACCCTCTTAGGAGAGGCTTTCACTTGCCCATTTCATTTACCTAATTACGTTGTATCTTCAAGAAGGACAAAATTATTTCCAGGCTTGCTTATCTCTGCTAGGCTTTGGCCAGTAGTTGTACATAGTCATAGGTCTGAAGATACAGACGCACATCTTTGTTGATCTTGGCCTAGGTGGTCTGGGACATTGTCATTCCCTGTGACACTACAGTATCAACTACTGCTCAAGGGTGATTTTGCTGAATGTACTAATCTCTTGCTTAGAGTCATCCATCACAGTTCGCTGCTCTTGGAGGCATGCTGCAGTGACAAAGCACACGCCCATCCACTGGCTGAGTTGTCATGGTCATGATTTAGGACAAACCTGTGAGTGTGCAGGAGCTGTAGATATGGTGTGGGCCGTCAGAAGGTGATGTAGGTTGCAACATTACACCTGAAGAAGGGTGCTCATTGCTGGAGATTGAATTTAGCAGTGGAAGAGACTTTTAAACATGGCTGTTGTTGATTCCCATTTCTCAAAAAAAAATCTAAAGGTCAGAAAAGGACAAAACTGATGTGTGGTAGATTCAGTACTTGCCCAGGGTTCCTTGAAGAATGTATTTACCACAGTACTCCTCGAAAACTTTTCCTGTTCCAATGGGACCATTCTTCTCCTTAAGATTTTATGTTATTTGATCCCTGGCTATCCAGGTAAACAAAAAAGAAGGCGGCATTGGAACTCCCACATTTTGTCCAACACTTGGCATTCACTAAGTTACTGTTCCCAGCAGAGAAAAAATTGATCAGGCCATTTGAGTTTTCCATATGTCTATTGTTGTTAGGACCCCTTTTGTACTAAAACTGGCACAGATACAGAGTTGATAACATATTGATATTACGGATATTATAAGTATGCCACTAAAAGGGCATAAACACCTAAGCTTTCAAAATCAATCAATCAATGAGTCACTAGCTCCACTGTAGGTGCAGAAATCCTCTGGAGTGGGAGGAAATACAGATTGATGTTATGTTGTCTGCCTCAGTCTGTCAGGAGTCAGTAGTTCCAAGAGTCACAACTTTCCCTTTCATTACCACAGACATCATTTCTGAAACTTCATGATGGCAAATTTAAAAATTAACTATGTCTCTGCTAAACATTTTAGTGCATTTATAAAGTCTGAGTGCCCAGTCATGACTGTTACAGGACTACAACAGGGAGCACTTGGGTGTGTAACCCTGCTAGAGGGTACACAGGTGCAGAAAACAGAACTCCATTTTGATGCAGATTTCTTCCCAGGTTATATTTCTGTAGTAAAGATGTCCTTTCACAAATCTTCCTTTGAAGAATTCAAACCACTCCACTGCTAATAGAAATTAAAAACAGATACGGGACTTGCTTATTCTTTCAATCTCCATGGTAGCACGCATTTCAATTAAAAGTAAAATTATTACATTATTTAGTTTGTGCATTTTTTGATAGAATAGTACATTTATATGTTAATTTTGCTAAGATCAACTTTATTTATCTACAGGAAGCTATTCCAAGATTGTTGTACGTTTTCTTTGCTTCTGAAATGTTATCACATTTAATTGCCTGATCTTATTTGGGTTGCAATCATAGTCATTAATTAGCAGGAAGGTGAGGGACAGCATCATATCTAACTATCTGTTATGGCTGCTTTAATGAGGAAAATACCTGCCATCATTTTAAAGGCATCCTGTATACTTCACAAATACAGCTTGCTGTAGCATTCTCATTTAGACTGTGAACATCAAAGGAAATTGATGTCAGGTGTGAACAGAAGCTGTTGAATATATCTGTTGAGGAAGCTGAGTGGTATGTCTGGATGGGAAAGATGAAGGGCAGCTTAAAACATTAACAAAACTACAGGTAATTAGTGTAAACTTTCAAGGGTAAGGTATGCTTGAGGAATAAAAATGTTGTTTATAGCTATTCCCTGTAGTGCCACTATCGCTAAGGGTCTGTCAATGTTTTCATTTATAAAGCTCTATTTTTATAGGATTGTGCACTAGTAATAAAAAATGTGCTTGGGGCTAGAAGTTGACAATTTAAAGAAAAATAAATTGGTTTTGTTGTTTTGGTGGGTTTTTTTTTAATTATATTAGTATATGAATAATAGAAGTTTGTCTGTTTTGCATGGTTGTGCTCCTTTGTATAATTCAGCTACTGTTTTAAAATCAAATTAATGAAATTTGGCAAGCAACTAGTTCCTAGTATGGACTCATCAGTGTTGGAATTCTTAGGGAAAAAAATAAATAAGATTATTTAGTGTTTCACAAGAAAAATTCTACCTTTCAAAGGGAATCAGAAAGAATTCAGTTCATCTGTAGAATACATTGAAGGAATGTTTTTATTCCAAGGTAAGTGTTACAGTACTCGTCTGAAAAGCAAGATTAAAAAACTGCCAAAATATAAACAAGTGTGGTCAGTTATAAAGATGTTTTAAGTTTACTGTGCACTATCAGGCTTCTAATGATGTTGTCATATCTCATGTCAATAATTCACCATAAACAGAATAAAGTAGGAACCTTCTTGGGCTATTAGTACCCTCAGGCTCCTACATACTTAAGAGAGACATAAAGTAATTTTCTAGGCGGAAAATAGTGCCTTTTGAGTCTTACCATGCAATTATAGCTGAATATTGTTTCACTGTAATTTTATATTGGAATTTCTTTACTGTAAGAAACATTTTTTTTCCTCATCACATTATAATAATCTTAGTGAAATAACGGCTGCACGTTTGTGGAAGGCATCCTTTTAAATCAGAGTTTAAGGGCCAAATGTGCCACGGGTCACAAAAGTGCATATCTAAAATAGTACTTATTGCTCATACAAATTTTTTCACCTTCCAAGATCTCGGATTGCTTTAAAAGAGAGGTCAAGTAGTATTGCCATATTATACAGATGAGGGAACTGAAGGGAAGTAAACAGTTGGCTCAAATACCTCTCAGCAAAGCAGTGCTAGCAAGGGACTGGAAATCTCTTGAACATCATCCTAGTGCTTTATCACAATATAACTACACCTCTGCTACCTCTTCAAGTCTTGGAAAATAATGGCCCAAACTCTATCTATCTCAGGAGCTGGTATATACTCCAAAATGAAACCCTTTAAATTTTGCAAATATTTTAGATAGATTGCTATCAAATCCTTAAAATACAGCCTAGATAAAGATGTGTCCCTCTTTTTCTTTTTTTAAATGGTGGAAGCCATTATTTCATCCACATATACATATATATATATGGCGTGTTCCTTCTCAGAGATCATGATTTCAAATGCACAGTGCATGAGCACTCTGGAGGAAATAACATCATATTCACAAATACTTGCTGTAGCAGCTTTTGGTAAGAGTTTACTTTTAACATTAGGAAGTACATCCATTTTAAACTGTGCCTTTCTTAACTGTAAGACCAGGGTTTAACTTCTGTGATGATTACTACAGTTGTCATTTCTGTGGGAACACGTCAGTACTTTCTTGCAACTCAACCAGTTCCTGGACCTGCAATCATGAATCCAAGTATATAGGCCCAGGACATGTTCAAGGCAGGGACATGGACATCTAACCCAATCACCTGCATATCATAGGCTAGAAAATATCCTAAATTTGATTCTTTGCCTTCAGAAACAGAGCACCTCCTAGAAACATCCAAACACAAGCCACCATTTTCTCGGTGTAATTTCATGGCTTTTCAGGAGAGGGAATGAAATTGTCATTGTCACATTATACCTCATAAGCCCTGACAAGCCCAGAGTCAGTGTCACTAAGATGTCTTCGTTTAACTAGAGGTGCCTCTGACAGGGAAACTGAGCAGTCTGGATTCTGATACTAATTTTATAGTAAAGGCAGTCTATGAATCAAGACCTGATCTGAATCATAGAATCAACTAAGTTGGAAAATACCTTTAAGATCATCAAGTCCAACCGTTACTCCAGGACTGCCAAGACCACCATTAAACCATCTACACGTTTTTTGAACACTTCCGGGCACAGTGACTCCACCACTTCCCTGGGCAGCCTGTTCCAACACCTGATCACCCTATCTGTGAAGAAATTTTTCCTAATATCCAATCTAAACCTTCCTTGGCACAGCTTGAGGCTGTTAGCTCTGGTACTATTGCTTGTTACTTGGGAGAAGAGATTGACCCCCACCTCACTACAACCTCCTTTCAGGTAGTTGTAGAGTGATAAGGTGCCCCCTGAGCCTTCTCTTCTCCAGACTAAAAAAGCCAGTTCCCCAAGCCAATCCTCACCAGACTTGTGTACCAGATCCTTCACCAGCTTTGCTGTCCTTTTCTGGAGCCACTCCAGCAGCTCCATGTCTCTTGTAGTGAGGGTTCCTGAACTGAATACAGGATTCGAGGTGCAGCCTCACCAGTGCTGAGTACAGGGGGATAATCACTGCCATAGCCCTGCTGGACACACTATTGCTGATATAGGCCAGGATGCTGTTGGCTTTCTTGGCTGCCCTGGGCACAAACTGGCTCATGGTCAGTTCTGTCAATCAGCGCCCCCAGGTCCTTTTTTGCCAAGCAATTTTCCTGCCACTCTTCCCCAAGCCTATAGCATTCCATAAGGTTGTTGTGGCCCAAATGCAGGATGCAACACTGCCTTGGTGCTTATGCTCATATATATATATTACAGGGGGGGGTTCACATTCTCTTAATCTCATTACCTGCTGCCCATATATGAAAGGGCGGAATTATGCCCTTAGATCACTGACTTCAACTGAGTTTCAGTTTAAAAGGCTGAGGAAAAATTTGGCATGAAAGATCCCATATATTCACACTTCCTTTTTGTGAGCACGAGGTTATGTTCGGGTGCAATAAACACCTGTCATCTTAAATAGTAAAGAATGTACTGCATTCTGCTTGTGTGTGGTTGGGGTTTTTTAGGATAAAAGTGCTTTAATTTCTAGTTAAATGGAAAGACACAGTGAAAGAACTAACATTTCAGAAAAGATATTGTAAGGAGCGCTGCAAGTAAATCCAAATAAATGAAGTACAAAATATCCTGTTTCATGTAAAAAGACACAGTGTTGCTGTTATAATTCAGATGACCTTGAAAAAGATATGACACAGCCATTTTGTTTAATATAATATGCTTAATATTAATATGGAGAGGACAAAAACTATTTTAGACGGTTCCCAATGACTGACAGGTAGTGATATCCTATGAAAAGCTTGAGCAAAACTCTTTCACCATTTCAACAATTATGTTTTTTTCTCTCAGAAGTTAAACAAGAGATGAGACCTCCTAATGGCTTTCCATGTGTTCATCACAGCTACCTGCATGAATTTGCAGTAATTAAGCAATCTGAAACACTGACTGACCCAGAGAGAAAGCTATTCCATACCGGTGGTGTCCTTGAAATGTCTTCATCATCAAGCGGTCTCTTCTCTTCATCTCAGTGAAAGCTAATGTCAGCACTACTGTGTAGCTACCCTTCCTTTAAATAGCTATTGAAATCTTATAAGGATGCTTTTTTTTATTAAGGAAAAAAAAAAAAGAACACTTAAAAAGGGAAAAATCCCACCAGCAAAGCAGTGTGGGCAGAGAAATGGCCCTGTGAAAATGTTTCTGCTACCAGGAGGGAGGGAAAGGGGGCTTGATGGGGATAAAAACAGCCTCTCTTTTTTTAAGGTCAAAAACATAATTAGCATTTGAAAGGATGTGAAGATGCACTACCTCAGGGACCACAATGGCCAAATTTGTGCCATTTAATGTCAACAGTCGTTGGAGTTGTGATAAAATTAATAGAGCCTTTTGTGATTGATAACATACCTCATCTGCCATTCCGGTACAAAAATCCCACAGCTGTAGCAGCAAGGAACAATGTTTAGATCAGTTTTGAAAGGAAACTGAAAGCTGTACTTATGGGCTTTAATTATCTTCTGAAATCTGTTACAACCTCCCCTGCTACCACTACCAAAAAGTAAAAATCTATTGTTTTATTATTAACTGTGTGAGGCGAGTTTAGTGCATTTAGTAGCATACTTTGTGGACACTGAAGGGTGAGAATGATAAGAAAGGCAGGATTTGTACTGTGATTTTTGAGGTGGAAAACCAGTAATTTATGTGAAAGAAAGGAGGTGAAACACTGGCACTGAAATCAACTGACTCAAGGACTGAAAGGAAGTTAGACATTCTGTAAATGTCATACACTTTAACTAGAAATCGGTTTATTTTTCACTTATTGGTAGACTGCACCCATTTTTCTACTCTATTCTGAAAAAGTGATTAAATCTTTTGGCCAATGTGACTTTCAGAATCATGCTGATTTTTTATGTTATGAATCAGAAATGAAAATTTTGCTTAAGGACATCAAGTCACTGGCCTTGTAGAGGACAAATGTATGATTCTGAACTGAAAAAACAGCCTGAACATTAATGTAAAGTACTAATTGCAAATTTGTTTCAATTTTTTTTAATGTTTTAGTAAATAGAGTTTTTACTTGATTTAGAGTCATATAGTGGTACAATTTTTAGATTATTTTGTACCACCAATCCTCCTTTTATTCTTTTTATAAACTATAATTTATGTAAGCCATCACAATGAGTTAGCAATCTGTCCTGTTCTTCAGTAGGTAACATGATACATATACACATCTCATAGCAAAGCATCTTTTATCCTACTGAAAACTCTCAACAGTTGACTGTAAAACAGTATATACTTAGCTGAATATGGACCATTGCACAGCGACAATTTTTTCATGTATCTATATGTATTTTCACCATTATTTTCTGTCATCAAGGTTACAATCTCAGTTAAAAGGTGTCCAGTGTTCAGAGTTGGGCTAGATCTAACATATTATCCCAATATCTTACCTCAGCCTGGAGGAGCACCAAACTGCAACTCATCACCATCCAATTATTGCAGCACTGCCTTAGCAAAGACTTCCACCATAGATCCTAACATATTCCTCAACAGTTGCAACAAGTCTATGTAGGCTGTTGAGAGTAGAGCTAGCTAAGAAATTGCTGGGGTGAAAGGTGAACTGGTTTACCAAAAATTGAGTTTCTTTGATGAAAAATTTAATCAAAACTTAACTGTATCAACCAAGATCACTAAGTTTTGACTGTAGAAGTCACTTAATGCATTAAATAAAGTGCTGAATCACCATGAATTGCCCCGATGGTGGAAACCACTCACCAGCTCCAGTGGGGAAAATACGTGTCAGAGGAAAGAAGCTGCAGTTTATACAGTTCCCAGATGTCATTTCTCCACCACTGCCTTTGCCTTTTAAAATTTTGTGAAGAACCAATTGAAAAGTTCTTGAAACCCAATTATTTGCGCTGAAATCAATAGTTCAATGTAGGAGGTCACTAAGCCAGAGTTTCCGTTGGCAAATCTCTATCACTTGAGAATTAGCACACAGTATCTGACATCTTACTCCCTGTTATATTGCACAGGCAATAAAGGCATAGGAGAAACGGGTATAGATGCATAATGACTAATAAAGGCAACAAAACCTGAGACATGGTTTACTTCACATGATATACTTGTAACTTATCATTGCATGTAACACTTGGTAAATAAATTTATTCAAGAATTTTAAGTGATAGGAAAAAGCTTCCGGAATAGTCTAATGCTGTGATAACTTAATGGGACTATCCATAGCCCTGCTGATAAATGCACAGCAATTCCTGTCAAGATACTGGCACTCAAAAGAGCTGATGGATGGAAATATACTTTAAATACCACTTACCTCCGCAGGCTAACTACTGGCAAAAAACACTGACCTTAGAAATTGAGTAACAATGACAGTATCATAAAAAAATGCATGTAATACTAAAACAACAAAAAAAGATATTTTTTATCATTATTGTATGTATTTCAGTGGATTGCTGGATGTAGTAGAATGTATTAATTTTCCTCTTTATGAAATAGTGAGTCTGTAAAATATGATGTGTTGAGGCCACAGAGATTAGAACTCTTATACGTATCTAGTAACACTCATAACTATGACAAGGATCTCAAACACATAGTTTGCACTGCTGTTATAGGTAAAGCAAATAGGAAAGTCTATAATTAAAACTGTCCTAAATTTCCCAAAGAACTTTATTTTAAGGTGGTATGACTATGCCATTGACATTTTTTAGCATAAGACAATTGGGCTGAAAAAACTCTTCAAAGGCAGAGGTCCTGCAATATATTTCAATCTTCAGCTGTAATGGTTTGGTGACCAGATTATTTACAATATTTTTGCTAAGAAATCTAGTACTTCCAAGCTTTCAGAGAGGTGGTTGAAATTCAGCTCAGAAGAAAAAGGTGCCTGTTTGTTATGTAGTTTTCTGGGTCTGTACTGAGCAGCCTTTGTTTCCTCACAGCTCCTAACTGCTGAGGGACTGTGCTTGTACCTTCCACACAAGTATGTATGAATGTCCCAATATAAGCCTGCAGCTCAGAGTGAGATTTTCCCATCAAATTTCTTTCCAAACAAAATAGTGTTTACTGCAGCAGTGAGAACCGGAATGGATAGCTGGGCTTTACCTTCACTGCTAACACCCGTACTTGCTTGTGGTATTGAAGGATGAACAAGAAATGGGTCAGTACAGAAGCAGTGAATGAACTGCAGCAGGTGTTGACTGCACCATACTGGTAGAGTCTAACTGGCGAAGATATGGTTATCTTACTGAAACGTCTAGCTTAGTCCTGCAAACACTGAATGCTTAAATGCTTGACTTGAAGCAAATACAGGGTTTTTTAAAGGCATGGTTCATTTTATACTTGATAACACAGTTGCCTGAAAGACTTCTGGCAAGACATTTCCTTAACATAACATGACATTTCATCAAAATCAACATTTTCCAAGAAAACGTAGAATTTGTTGAAATTTTTCTTTAACTATTGAAGAAGGATTTTTTTTCCTTATTATTTCAAGTTTATTTCAAGATATAACTAAACAAAATGAGGTTCTGGTGGATCTGGAATGGTACACCTCTCCTTTTGCTCTCCAAACAGTGATTCTGCTGGCAATCCATTTTGCCAACCTTTTTTCCATTGGCATTTAGTGGAAATCTCACCATAAAGTACCACCAGTACAGAAAATATTTGGACTACTCAGTTTGGAACCACCAGAGAACTGAAAGAGGAATAATGATTATTGTACTGCCCCACTAAATTATTTGCCGAGTTATTTATTTCTGAATATGTTAAATTCACATAGGATATTTTGGTTTGATACTAAGTATCTGAATACTGCAACCTTTAAAGCTCATTCTCATTTAAAATTCACTTAAAACCCCCAACAAAACAGTACTGATTCTGCTCAGTAATTAGATTCTTTGTTGTTTAGTGTAAACAGAATATCTAACAGCCAGAGAAAAAAACTACAGTAAAGGACAAGGCCTGAAGGACCTTTGAAGAAAAATATTAGAACTGTTATTAACACAATGGTCAGTAACATTTCACTATATGAACAAAAAAGTATATGATAATTCCTACAATAAAACTAACTCTGCATTTGTGTGGTGTGTTGAGCTTGGCTGTCCCCTCCTCAGCAGGACAGGTGGGGTAGAAAATAAAGTGGAAAAAAATTCAATGGGTCAAGATAAAGGCAGTTTAATAAATTAAAAGCAAACGCCACATGCAGAAGCAAAGGAAAACAAAAGATTTATTCTCTAATTCCTATCAGCAGGCAATGTCCAGATTGTTCCCAGGATATGGGGCATCAGTACATATTAGCGGTTTCTCTGTAAAGCAAACATAGTAACTACAAATGCCCCTCTTTCCTTCTCCTTTCCCTTAGCCTTTATTGCTGAGCATCCATCATATGTTATGGAATAACCTTTGGCCAGTTTGGGTCAGCTCTCCAGGCTGTGGCCCCTTGCAGGCTCTTGCCCACTCCCACCCTGCTGGTGAGAGGGAATGTCGTAGTGACAGCCTTGATGCTGTGTGAGCATTGCACAGCAGCAGTTAAAACACTGGTGTGTTATCAACACTTTTCTAGCTACCAATACAAACCGCAGCACTATGAAGGCAGCTATGGGGAAATTTAACTCCATAGTGGCCAGACCCAATGAAATCTGGTTCATTAACACCATGAGTTCAAAACTGTGAGTGTGGTGAGGCACTGGAATGGGTTGGCCAAGGAAGATGTGAATGCTGAGTCCCTGGTGGTGTTCAAGGCCAGGTTGGACAGAGCCTTGGGTGGCATGGTTTAGCGTGAGGTGTCCCTGCCCATGGCAGGGGGGTTGGAACTAGATGATCTTAAGGTCCTTTCCAACCCTAACTATTCTATGGTTCTATGATTCTATGATACCTGCCTTGGACACAACATGCCAATTTCGTGTATGTCACAATTCTTCAGCCTTCTGTAACCTCACTTCTCCACTGAGCTCAAAAAATGAAGCCACGACCTCTCAAAAGAAAGTAAATATATCATTCCAAGTTATTCTTGTTTCTGTGCCTTCCAGGTTACCTTATTATCTCATTTATAGTTCTAAAGTTGGCCACAAGTATCAAGGTATTCACTGGGGATTTGCACTGTGCAATGTTTACAGTCTGTAAAATTCTTGGGTTTCCTTTCTCATGTACTGCATCAACCAGCACTTCAGCAATAATATTTTCTTTTGTTTCCTTCTATAATTTTCAACACCCAAAATGTTAATTTCAGCAAAGTTAAAACTACAGTTTGAATATATTTCTAACACCAGAGCAAAATGATAAAATGCACTTAGAAATTAGCACTTATCTGATTTTACCTTCACTCATGAATCATGAGAAACTAACTTGATTTTTTTGTTCCTGATTGTAGAGCTTTCAGTGAAGATTCTTTTTTATTTGGTTCTTCATTTAGAAGGATTTTCATGCTTTTGCTGTCTGTTTCAAACTGGAGGTGAACTTGACCTTCTATGCTTGGATCAGCTAGACCACATGAGATTTCTTTTCCATTCCTTATTTGCCAAATCTGAAGGAGCTCAATGGGTATCATTTTTAGATGTTTTCTCATCTATGTTTCTGTTCAGTCTTTTCATCTGGCTGGAAAAAACTGCATATTTTAGGAAGAAGAGAAGAAAACTTAATACTCTAGTTTGAGCATAAGCCTCTGCTAATTCTGCTGGGAAATGACTTGTATTTCCTTTTTTTTTTTTTTTGTACTTTTTCTGCATATATGGCACATTTCTTAGAATTTTATATGATTTCTTTTCAATGAAAAGTTTTCCATGAAGCTTCTTAGCAGTTGAATGTGATTCAGAAGAGCTGATTAAATATCTATTTACATGTGTACAAGCAAGTATTTCCCAAAAAAAACAATGGGGAATTCATATGCTGAACAGGGGATGTGTGCTAAGGTTAATTACTGCAGTAAGGGCTATATTAAAAACATAAATAAATATGGAGACATGCAGTGATTCTTAGATTTTTTTTTCAGGGATTGCATAGGAACCACCTTAAAATTCAATCTCTAATATTTCCTTTATCCTGTAGAAACAGGACCTGTACACAGTTTGGAAAGGAGCAGTAGAGCCACCAATACAGCAGTCAACAATGCCTTCTATTTGGGATGCAAGGCAAGACCAACATACCTTCACTCAGTGGCATTAGCCAGTACTGGTCAGATAAAGCTGTCATAAAGGTAGAAGACATTTTTGCAACTAGAGGACAAATACGCTTAGATTATAGTGCAAGGGGTGTCAAGATTTTGTCTGGCAAAAGAGGCCCCTGTACCTGCTTAATCTGAAAAAATGAATTTTCAAAAATTAAATTTGAGGAACTTTTTTTCAGGTGTTTTGTTTGTTTGTTTGTTTGGGTTTTTTTTCCCTTTTCTCTTCCTTCTCCCCAAAGTCTGGAATACTGAATTTCCAAATCCTTTACATAGTCTCAGTAAACGGAATCAAGTTTAGCCCTGTGAGCTACATTAACTTAGTGCTCTGCTAGTCAGAAAAGTCAAATTGGTACTGATAATGTCACTTTTTAACTGCTTTATGCTCTAACTGCTTTTTCTTACCCCATCATTGGGGTTCTATGTGCAGCTAAATGACAGCAGTGGATGGATGGATGGATGGATGGATGGATGGATGGATGGATGGATGGATGGAAAGAAGCAAGCAGGGAGACAAGGAAGCAAAGAAGCAAGCAAGGAAGCAAAGAAGGAGGATGAATGGATGTTCAAATTAATATAAGTGACGTTGAATGAGTACTGGAAAATGCACTTGGGTCTGGAATCTGGAGATGGCATAATTTTTACATTCATATGTAATTAACTCTCCATCAGTTTTCCACTTAGTTTTTGAATTTGTGGCAGCAAATGAAAGCACACATTCTTCATTGGTAAGTTCTGTTACATTGCCAATGACAAGTTATTGCTCCAGATAAGACCTGGTATTCACTTGTGAAGAAATAGCCATTGTTAATTCTTCTCCCAAAACAAGCTGCTGTTCTTATAAAAAAATAGCATGTCACTTCTCAGTGAAAGAATGTTTAAAGGAGAGTGTCCTTTCCTGGTATTTTTGTACTATGGAAAAAAAATAATTAATCAGTGTTTATCTGTGCATTTTCCCCTCTCTTCACATGATGCCATCCTTCTGCTCAGCTGATGGCAATAGTTTCAGCAGTTTATAACCTACTTTTGAAATATTCACCTTTATTTGAAACATACAACTATGTAGATTCAAAGAAATAAAGAAAAGGAATGTGTAAAAGGCACAAGAGCCTTTTTTTATAAAAATACATTGGATCCAGAAACCTAATATATTTTGCCATTGGAGATTCCAGAGCAATCACAATTTAAATGGTGCTGTGTGGAACACTGGCCTGTATGGGATTTAAGTAACCACCACACATATGTTATTGTGGTTCCTACTTATGTTGTCAGTCTTTGGGAAAAGACAATCTGAGGCACATTTTCTTTTTTTTTTTTTTTTTTCCAGCAGGTACACTTTTATTGGCTGGGCTTGTTTCTGCTTCTGCAAGTCCTGAAACAATTTGCAAATGCACATTTCAACATGCCTCTGTTGAATTCAAATATTTGAATACTGAATAGCTAAGATGATAGAAAGTAATTCCATTAAGATTCGTGATATGAAAAAGGGTTTCAGAGAGATAATTTTGAACCTGCAAGTATACTGAAAGTGCATCAGGCTTTATGTTACATAGCTGTCACCTATTTGTCAGAGCTTGGTATGGAGTGTAAATAAAGATGGTCATTACCTTGTAACCTCTTAACTGTGAATCTGCCCAGAAAAAGCTGGTTGTATTGTATTCAGTTACTCTTCCTGTTGATTTCTTACCTGTGATAAATAAATAAGCAAAACAACACTTTGTAAATATGTAAGCAGGTATTGGAAAGTAAGCTGTTGACATTTTAACACATTGGCAAGCTTCTCTGTAGGTACATAAATTGTTCAAAAAGCATCATTTATCTGATTAATTCCATTAAATTTTTTTCAAGATCACAAATGCTTAATGAAAAAATTGTAACAGTCCCACATTTATTCATTATTTAAAATAATTCTTGTATTTAGAATCACAGAATCATAGAATATTTAGAGTTGGAAAGGGCCTTAAGATCATCTGCTTCCAACCCCCCTGCCATGGGCAGGGACACCTCGCTCTAAACCATATCACCCAAGGCCTCATTCGACATGGCCTTGAACACTGCCAGGGATGGAGCATTCACAGCCTCCCTGGGCAACCTATTCCAGTGCCTCACCACCCTCACAGGAAAGAATTTCACCTTATATCCAACCTAAACTTCCCCCGTTTAAGTTTTAACCCATTACCCCTTGTCCTAACACTACAGTCCCTAATGAAGAGTCCCTCCCCAGCCCCCTTCAGATACTGGAAGGCTGCTATGAAGTCTCCACGCAGCCTTCTCTTCTCCAGGCTGAACAGCCCAACTTTCTCAGCCTGTCTTCATATGGGAGGTGCTCCAGTCCCCTGATCATTCTCGTGGCCACCCTCTGGACTTGTTCCAACAGTTCCATGTCCTTTTTATGTTGAGGACACCAGAACTGCACACAATACTCCAAGTGAGGTCTCACCAGAGCAGAATAAAGAGGCACGATCACCTCCTTCTACCTGCTGGCCACGCTCCTTTTGATGCAGCCCAGGATACAGCTGGCTTTCTGGGCTGCAAGTGAACACTGAAGCCAGCTCATGTCCATTTTCTCATCAGCCGACACCCCCAAGTCCTTCTCTGCAGGGCTGCTCTGAATCTCTTCTCTGCCCAGCCTGTAGCTGTGCCTGGGATTGCTCCGACCCAGGTGTAGGACCTTGCAGTTGGCATGGTTAAACTTCTTAAGGTTGGCATCGGCCCACCTCACAAGTGTGTCAAGGTCCCTCTGGATGGCATTCCTTCCCTCCAGCGTATCAACCGAACCACACAGCCTGGTGTCATCGGCAAACTTGCTGAGGGTGCACTCAATCCCACTGTCCATGTCAGCAACAAAGATGTTAAACAAGACCGTTCCCAACACCGATCTCTGAGGAACATCACTCATTATTGGTCTCCAGCTGAACATTGAGCCATTGACAGCAACTCTTTGTGTGCGGCCACCCAGCCAGTTCTTTATCCACCGAGTGGTCCATCCATCAGATTGATGTCTCTCCAATTTAGAGACAAGAATGTCGTGTGGGGCAGTGTTGAACACTTTACACAAGTCCAGGTAGATGACATCAACTGCTCTACCCCTGTCCATCAGTTCTATAGCCCCATCATTGAAGGCCACCAAATTGGTCAGGCAGGATTTCCCCTTAGTGAAGCCATGCTGGCTGTCACCAAGCACAAGCACCTTGTTGTTTTTCATGTGCCTTAGCATGCCTTCCAGGAGAATCTGCTCCAAGATTTTGTCAGGCACAGAGCTGAGACTGACTGGTCTGTAATTCCCCGGGTCATCCATTTTCCCCTTCTTGAAAATGGGGGTTATATTTCCCTTTTTCCAGTCGTCAGGAACTTCACCTGATTGCCATGATTTTTGCAGTAAAGAGTTATTCATTGAATATACTGATACTTGAATTTTCCATGGCTTTTGTTATACACCAGTGGGCCTGATGATAACTAAAGTAGCATGGATATGCACCTGTAGTTTGTACTGCACATTCCAATTAAAAAAAAAAAATTAAAATCCTGTCACCAGCTTTTTTTATCTATTTCAAGATTAGTTTTGCCAAACATGTGTCATTTAAGTTCTTAATTTAATTTTTCTTTTTCCTTTTTGTGTGTTATTGAAACTGTTACCCAAAGACAGTTTGAGAACTCAGAACTGGTGAAGTTGATCAAATAAATGATTCTGTATAAACAATTGTCTTAGCTGTGGAAAGCCTAAAGAACGAAAAGATGACATTGATCTCTATATAATAACTGTGTTAATATCAACATGCCGATTCCTGACACTTTAGTGGCAGCCAGATCAAGGCCAATAATACTTAAACAAAATAGTGCAACTGTAATTAATATTTATTTATCTATAAACTAACAAAAAAGAGCTAGTCTTAAAAATAGATTTTGTGATATTTGCCTACTATCTAGCTTTTGTGCTGTTTCAGTGGTTCACATTAGTGGAATTATCTATCTCAGAGAAAACTTGAAGTTGGAAAAATGAAAAAAAAACTTTCTTACTTGTTTGTGTTTTCAAAAGCTTTATTACAGTTTGTAGAAAAACATCAGATTCTGAGCCAACATTTAAGGATTCAAAATACATTCATAAAATACACACAGAAAGATGCATATGCATATATATGCACACAAACACCAAATGCAATCCTACAGAGTAAACAGGAAATAAAAGTAGTTGTGATGTCCACATGTTCACCTGTATTCACTGTTTATATATTTCTGAGCTTATCTGTAGTCCTGATAATTAGCCTCCTGGTATCATTTCTGCTGAAGTGCCTGCAGTCCATTAGAAGTATAGAAACAAGTCATGGTAGGAAACACTATAGAAATCTACGGGGGGGGGGGGGGGGGAAGGATAGGAAGAAAAAAATTAAGCGAAAACCAAAATACAACTTGATAATTACAGATGAAAAACAAGGAACAAAAGAAATAAAATTTTGGTATGAAGTTGAATTGATGAAAACAAATGTCATAAACACTTTTTTTTTTTTTTTAATAATAAAACAGAAGAAAAAAAAATTGTCCAGGTTGAAACAAAATATTAATACACTAAATAGCTATGATTTTTTCTTCTGGTCACATTTAGCTAGGGAGAAATTTAAAAATTCTGCTGGCATGTTTGTTGGGAATAAAAAAGCCTGTAGGTCAAGTCTTTCTGAGAGAATGCCAAATGTCTTTGTGTCCAGTTATTTATGGTTTCAGATAATTGTACAGAAAATATCAAATTTGCATAGTGTGATTATTGCTGATTATTTATCTAGCAGTCAAAATGTTTCAGTGGTTCCTAGGATGACAGATTGACAAGTACTTAAAACTCATTCATTTTATGAAATTTGCATGTAATTAGGCAATAATGAAGGGGATGTTTGTGGACAGCGGATTATACTACAATATGCTGGAAGCAATTCAAATGCTTGACAAAGTGTTAACATTATCTTCAGTTTCAACTAAGTCTTGAATGTTTGGCTCAAAAAATCCGTGGAAAAATGAAATGGGTTATGGAAAGTTACTAAATGTATTGCTAGAATGAAGTATATATTTTTTATTCCTCTTTGTCTATCCCTACTTATTTATGCACTGCTGATGAATTGTACTTTAGATATTTAACTCATATCACATTCGGTTCAGCTCATCTGTAATAGTTTTGCTGCCACTGCTGTGGTCATTATCACAGTGAAATCCTATGAAGAATGG